AATAGTAGTAGTAGTAGTAGTAGTAGTAGTAGTAGTAGTAGTCGTAGTAGTAATAGTAGTAGTGGTAGTAGTCGTAGTCGTAGTCGTAGTAGTAGTAGTAGGAGTGGTAGTAGTAGTAGTAGTAGTAGTAGCAGCAGTAGTAGCAGTAGTGGCAGTAACATTAGTGGTAGTAGTAGTAGTAGTAGTAGTAGTAGAAGTATAGTACTACTAGTAGTAGGAGTAGTAGTAGTTGCAGTAGCAACAGTACTAGCACTAGTAGTAGTATTAGTCGTCGTCGTAGAAGTAGTACTAGTAGTAGTTGTCGATGTCGTAGTAGTAGTAGTAGTAGTAGTAGTAGTAGTTGTCGTAGTAGTCGTAGTAGTAGTAGTAGTAGTAGTAGTAGTAGTAGTAGTAGTAGTAGTAGTAGTAGTAATATTAGTAGTAGTAGTAGTGGTAGTAGTAGTAGCAGTAGCAGCAGTACGAGCACTAGTAGTACTAGTACTAGTAGTAGTAGTAGTAGTAGTAGTAGTAGTAGTAGTGGCAGTAGTAGTCGTAGTAGGAGTAGGAGTAGGAGTAGGAGTAGTAGTAGTAGTAGTCGTAGTAGTAGTAGTAGTAGTAGTAGTAGTAGTAGTAGTAGTAGTAGTAGTAATAGTAACAGTAGTAGTAGTCGTATTACTACTAGTAGTAGTAGTAGTAGTAGTAGTAGTAGTAGTAGTAGTAGTAGTAGTAGTAGTAGTGGTAGTAGTGTAGTAGTAGTGTAGTAGTAGTAGTAGTAGTAGTAGTAGTAGTAGTAGTAGTAGTAGTAGTAGTAGTAGTAGTAGTAGTAGTAGTAGTAGTAGTAGTCGTAGTAGTAGTAGTAGTAGTAGTAGTAGTAGTAGTAGTAGTAGTAGTAGTAGTAGTAGTAGTAGTAGTAGTAGTAGTAGTAGTAGTAGTAGTAGTAGTAGTAGTAGTAGTAGTAGTAGTAGTAGTCGCTGCTCACTTACCCTGCTCACTGCTCTCCCTGCCCACTGCCTCTGAGGAGGGGAAGAGGAAGGGGAGGAGGAGGAGGAGGAGGAGGGGGGGAGGGAGGGGGGGGAGCGACCTGTTTATTCACCGCCGAGTAAAACAGGGGGGGATACCAAAACAAAAGACCTTTAGAGGTTAAACACAAACCGAAAACAACACGCTATGGACAAGCACCGTGTGCCGTGTCACGAACCATCGAGATTGAAACATCGAGATCGTCAAGCGACGGAAAACGATAACAAACGTTGAACAAAAGCAGCGGAATTGAACCGCATTCGGGGCAAATCGGAGGTCCGCGCGGTTCCCTCGGATCGGCACGTGGGCCCCAACGGAGGCGCCCCTGGCGCCGCACTTGGCGGCTCCGCGCAAGGGAAGGGGGTCCGCCGACCCGAAGAATCCGCGCGGCCCCCCGAATGGTTATGTGTGTGTGGTTGCGTGGCCCCACCGCGGTGCAATCCCAGCGGTTCTTCTAAACATTTGTTGTCGTATCGCGTCGCCTGCGGAACTCGATGTCTTGTCCACCCCAGCATCCCACAGCATATGGACAAACGGGCGGACATGAAATCCGTTGGAAATCCTGGACGCGTGCTCGAAGAGCACGCGCCTCCCCTGCAGCGCCGGCGGATGGCCCGCGTAACGGCTGGGGGGCGGAGGGGGGGGCGACGTATTTATTGACTCGCCAACAGAAGGCGAAACGTCGTGGACGCCGGCGCCCCAGCACAGTGCCGACCTATTCAAACACCTAGTAACTGCGACACCCGTCTCGTAGTCCAGGAAGCGGGTAACCTCGCCGCCCGAGGCGCAGCGCAGCCTGCCCGCGCGCTGGGAAGCAGTCCTGCCACCCCGAGCGTGCACCGCCCATCATGGCCGCGGCGAGGGGGGTGGCACACGGGCGGGAGCGGGGCCCGAACGGGCACGGGACCGCGACGGGTTGGGTCAGGAAACAGGCCGAGGAGGGGCGCGCACGCGCGCGCGCGCCCCGGAGGCCCCGCGAGAAATGGAGCGATCAGACTGGCGAGCTTTCGGGCTCTGAGCTGCCCCGATACGCAACACGCGACCCGTAGCGTGATGGAACGGAGCTTAAAACGTAAACTGACAAGGCTTGTCTGACGCGACACGATCGCCAAAACGTGAGCGAACACGTTGAGCCAGCAAGCAACGTATTGGAACGGACGTTTTGAGCACGGTGCGTGATTCGTATCAAAACGGGCGTATCGAGGCACCTAAGCTCAGGTTGTGATTGCGCAGTGTTTTCCTTAGCCGGGCTCCAGCAAGAACCGCGCTAACGGCGATGCTGGTCAATGGCGACGCTGGGAATCCGACGCTGGACTCGCGCGGAGCAAATCGAAAAATTAGCTTGGCGAACGGCCCAACCATATGCAATTGCGAATACCGCAATCGCGAACATCACCTCCGCCCGCGCCTCCTATGGGGCCACGAACCGCGCGAGGGGCGCGCCGACGTCCGCGGCGGGACACGCAGCGCGGACGAAGACGACGGGTCTGCGCGAGAGACTGAGAGCAGATGAATCTGATCGCGAGCGAGTCTGATTGCGAATGAGCCTTCGCGCGCGTGAATCTGCGCGCATAGAAAGGTTGACGCCCACGTCGGCGCGCCCGTCGCGAGGATCGAGCCCGCTTCCTCCCCGCTCCTGTGGTGCCATGTAGCCCGCCCGCGCCAACGTCCAAGGTTGCGGGCGCGGCGCCGCGCCGAGCCCCGGCGACGCGCGCCTGTCGCCCCGAAAGGGTCCCGGCGACGCGCGCGGGTCGTCCGCTGCGCAGAGCGGAGAGAGCGAGCTGGCTCGCCGATAGCGGGCAAGGCTCTGGCCGCCAGACAGAGCGACGACGTGGGCGAGCGAGGCGCCAGGCCGAGCGCAGCGCGGAGTTCCCGCGACGCGAGGCCAAACAATCAGAACGTGGAGAGACGGCGAGGCTCGGGCGGGCCGCTCCTCAGGTCAAGCCTCGCGGATGAACTCGGTGAAGCCCAGCTCCCTGGCGAGGGCCGTCGCCTGTCTTCTGCGCCGCTTCGCGCGCGCCGCAAACTGCTCCAGCTGCTTCCGCAAGCTCTCCGTCCGCCCTGCCAGGAAGAACTCGATGCGCGGCGCCCGCGTGAGCAGGAGGTCATCGTGGCGCGTGGCGCGCGGGAGCAGCGCGTTGAGCTCTAGCCACCAAGCGTCGTCCTCCTTCTTGCCGTTCCCGACCTCGCGGCGGCCGCAGATCAGGATCACGCCTGGGCGACGTCGGCCGAAGGAGCAGCGCGCCGGGCAGCCGACGGCCCAGGGCGAGAGTCCACATAATCGAAGTCTGGCTGAGGACTGCCCGCGTCCAGCAAGTCTGGCCGTAAACTGTCCAGAACGCATTTCCCTCGCCCCGTCGCCTTCGCGCATGGTGCGCCCCTGCCGCTGGAGCCGTCGGTGGAGCTCCCTGTGGGGCCACGAAGCGTGTGAGGGGTGTGCCAAAATGGGGCGGCGCCGCCATGCGAGCTCCGCCATTGGGACCGTAGGTGGAGCTCCCTATGGGGTCTCGAAACGAATGAGGGGTGCGCCAAAATGGGGCGGGGAGGCCATGCGAAATCAACCACTGGGACCTTAGGTGGAGCTCCCTATGGGGCCACGAAACGTGTGAGGGGTGTGCCAAAATGGGGCGCGGATGCCATGGGAGTTCCGCCACTGGGACCGTAGGTGGAGCTCCTATGGCGCCACGAAGCGTGTGAGGGGTGTGCCACACTGGGGCGGGGATGCCATGCGAGTTCCGCCACTGGGACCGTAGGTGGAGCTACCCATGGGGCCACGAAGCGTGTGAGGGGTGCGCCAAAATGGGGCGGGGATGCCATGCGAGTTCCACCAGTGGGAGCGTAGTTGGAGCTCCTTATGGGGCCACGAAGCGTGTGAAGGGTGCGCCAAAATGGGGCGCGGATGCCGTGCGAGTTCCGCCACTGGGACCGTAGGTGGAGTTCCCTATGGGGCCACGAAGCGTGTGTGAGGGATGGAGCGGGGATGCCATGCGAGCTCCGCCACTGGGACCTCAGGTGGAGCTCCCTATGTGGCCTCGAAACGAGTGAGGGGCGTACTTAATTTTGGCGGGGATGCCATGCGAGTTTCGCCACTGCGACCGTAGGTGGAGCTCCCTATATGGGGCCAAGAAACGTGTGAGAGCGGTGCGCCAAAATGGGGCGGGGATGCCATGCGAGTTCCGCCACTGGGACCGTAGCTGGAGCTCCCTATGGAGCCACGAAGCGCGTGAGGGGTATACCGACAGAGAGACACGCGGAAGGCAGAGGCAGGAGGGGAGGCAGCGGGAGGAGAAGGAAGGAGGACGCGGGCGCTGTCTTTTCAAGACGAGGACCCAACACCACAGGATGGTTGGGAAAACCAACAGCCTACAATTGGGATGGCCACGAACCACCCCCACCTACACCCTGCGAAATGCTTTAGAAATCATGGGTTAAGAAATTCATAGTCTCAGAATTTGAATAAAAACCCAGAAGTTCTATCAAAATCTTTGGATTTACACTGAAACGTTAAGAATAATCGAGACTCTGGCCGAAAACTTGGGTTTTCTTAAGCATCGCCTGGAGTGTACAATCACGAAACCTATATCGCCGCTGCCTCCATCGCCGTGGGTGCCCCTACGAAGCAAAACGTGTCGGACGACGTCTAGAAACGAGGCTCCGAAAGGTGCCTGGGCGGGGCACGAGCGGGCACCCAAAGGCGACGGACGAGGGGAGCAGGCAGGCCCATAGTTGCGCGTGGCCCCGCGGCAGGGTGGGCGGCGGGCAGGGTGCGGGGGAACGAAGAGGTAACGATACCGCTAATACCCGGACCTCGCCCCGGGGTGTGCTGTGGGCCAGAACTTCGAGGCGGATCCGGCCGCGGCGACGAGGGCCACCCAGGAGGTCCAAAAAGGGGAGAGATAAAGAGAGACAGAGAGAGAGAGAGAGAGAGAGAGAGAAAGAGAAAACCAAAAAAAGGGGACAGGTGATGGTATGGGAAACGTTCCCTCCTCTGAGGGAGGCGCCTCGTCGGCGGCCTCGAACGCCGCCAGGCACACGGAGCACCTCGGTCGGCACGCATGGGCTTAGCGGCCACGGGGCCCGGCGGGCCGAGAGGTGCCCGGGCCCGGGGGCTTCGCCAAGCTCCGCGGGGGCTTCTCTGGGGAATGCCCGACGCCGAACACCTCCGATGCATTACGGTGCGCGCGTGGACGCACCCCCTGCTTTGGGGTCGGCGCCTGCTTCCAAGCCTCCAACTGGAGGGCCTCTCTTTGTGCTCCCCGCCGCACGCTCATGGACGCCCCGTATACCCTCGCAATTGCGTCTTTTGAGTGCGCTGGCGTCGACCAGCGTCTGGTTATCGATGGAACCGCGCGCCGACCCAGCTTCGACTAACTAACTAGCGTCGATGACCTTCGATTCGCAGGAGCCAACAAGATGGTACGGTAGTTTCGCGCGGCCTCGGCGCGCGCAAGGGTTCTTGACACCACGTCGACCGTTCAGCCTTGAATCGATCGCGGCCCCGATTATTCAGAGCTGGATTTCGTCGGGTCCAGGAGCGTTGCCCTGCACCTTGGTGATCTCGGTGCTCCCGCAAAGCAGTGCACAACCTTGGACGCCTTGGCCAGCGTCGGCAGCGAGCCAACGCCGCATGAACCTATCGTATCGAACCTATCGTATTGTTCCTCCCCTCCCTCGTCCGCCTCCCGCGTCCTCCCAAGCTCCAGCTCGGCGAAATGCCAACACGCCAGACAAAAAGTCAAACCGCATCACCAGACATCCGCCGATGTCATTTGCTCCACGTTTGGCCCCAGCAATCCCGACCACTCCTCTGGGAGTAGCGTTCTGGCCCGTAGTCAACCAAAAACCGAAACCAAAGAAACACTCAACCTTGCTTTTCATCGATTTACCCGGTGAACAATTACAACTTCAGAAAGGGTCGTGTCGTTGCCGCAGGGCGGGGGACTGGGGCCCCGGGTACCGGTAACGCTTGGGCGGGTTTGGGCGAGGTGGGGCACGTCAAGGCGGGGGGTGCGAGGCGATCGCCATCGTATGCGAGCGAGCACTAGTATGGGGGGTGTGGTCCAACCCCCGTCCTACGCTTTGACGAGCGGACAGCAGGCGCCCCGCGCAGCCGCGGGCGCCCGGGAAGGCGCCGATCAGTCCGGCGCTTTGGGGAGCAGCCCCCGTCCTACGCACGATCGTTGTAATTACATGGGGGGGTAGGGCGCCACAGTTTACAAGAACCATCTCCTTGCGGGAGATGTTCGCCTCAGATTCCTGCTGGGCGGTCTCCAGAAGCCGAAGGCAATGAAGAATGCCCAGCATCAAAAACTCCGACCGTCGGAGATCTGAGTCGATCCTCTGTACTGGGTTGTGGATGTAGGCCTCTTGGGCCGTCTTGAGCGCCTTTGGGGCTGTCTTGAGGCTCCTCTGGGGGCCTCTTGGGGGTCGTCCTGGGCTGACGGCCGAGGAGGGTGATTGCGGGGAAAGGACGCCACAGCTCTGGGAACATGGATGGCCTTGGCCTGATCGGGCCCTCCTGGGCGTCCTCCTCTTCCATTTCCTTTCTCCTGTTCCCACCCTTCCTTTTCAGCAGCACGATGGTCTCCTCCTTCTCCTCCTCCTCCTCCTCCTCCTCCTCCGCCTCCTCCTCCTACTCCTCCTCATTCTTATCATGTTCCTTCCTCTCCTCCGTTGTCCTTCCTCCTCCTACTCCTTCTTCTCCTCTTCCTCCTGCTCCTCGAAATGCCAGTTCGAGCTCCCCCACTTGAGCCACTCCTGGGGCCCTGTGCCCTCCTTGAGGGCGGCCGAGGCGCACATCGACTATCTGCAGCTTGACCGAGGCCGAGAGCGGCACACCGGCGATGCATCGGCGGCGACGCATCGGCGACGCCGACGTGGAGGAACTCGGGCTCCACACCCGCGGTGCATCGACGCCGCATCGGCCGCGCAGGGAAGCGTTCCCAGCCCAGGGGCCTCGCTCAGCCCAGAGCCTGGCAGCGCGAGTCGCCGAGGCCGACATCCAGGAAGCGCGCTCGTGTTGAAAAAAAACTGACCGTCGGAGAGCTGAGTCCCAGAGAAGCCCCGAAGAAGAATCCGATCCCCTGGTAATCCCCGGACCTCTCCTGGGGCGCGCTCTGACCAGGATTCTTCGAGGCGGCGAAGGCCCCCCCCCAAGAGGCTCAAGACGAAAAAACGGCGAGGACGAGAGAAGCGCAGCGGAATCGACGCCTCTCGGGGATGGACAGACCTCCCTTTAGTAAAACGTGGTTTAGTGAAAACGACTTCGGGCCCAAACCTGGCGGGCGCAAGCCTGGAAAATAACGGCCACGGCGCCCACTCGAAAACCGAAAACGGACAATTCACTAATCGACGTGTCACTATTGAGGGTTCTGTCCACCCCCGAGCCTCTTCTCCTCCTCTGGAGCCGATCCTCCGGGCGGGGGCCGCACTGCCCTCCCAAACGGCCGGGGGCCATCTCCAGCTCTGCAACCGGCCGGGGGCCGCACTGCTCTCCCAGGAAGTCGTCGCAGGGCGCCAGCGGCAGGCTGCCGAGCCCACCAGCGCTCACCGTCGGCCTGCTGGGGGGATCCGAGCCTCCGTCGCTCCGCTCGGACGTCTGCGGATAGCCTGTAAAAGCCCAACGCATTGGCCAACAAAAACACACCCACGATCTGCACCTTCCGCACCCGCCGCGCGGCAGGTGCCGCACCGCCGTCGCCGCGGGGGTAGTCCAGACCTCTGGGGAGCCAGATGCGAACATTCTCACGATGTCCTATGTCTGGGCGGGGGGCGAGGGGATGGGCGCGGCGGGGGAATATTGAGGCTCTTGACACCCAGAACGGTCACTTCACAACCAGACCGGGCTCTTAATGACAAGGAGGCGCTCAATATCTATACCTTCGAGTTCAGAACGGCCACTTTGCATTGCAGAGACGCCTCCCCTGCTGAGACCAGGGCAAGCCGGAGAGGCCACACGAGACGTCGCCAACGGCGAGAGCCGACGGGAGATGATGATGAGCATGATGATGATGATGATGATGATGATGATGATGATGATGATGATGATGCTGATGCTGATGATCATGATGATCATGATGCTGATGATGGTGGTGGTGGTGATGATGATGATGATGATGACGATGTCGACGATGATGCGGATGTGTAGGAACATCAATATGGTCATGCAAATAAGTACGACTGTGAATATGAAATTCAATGTGCATGGAAATTTGACTATGGGAATGAATACGGATATGAACACGACTATGAATATGACTACGAATGGTGATGATGATGATGATGATGACGATGCCGGTGACGATGATGAGGTGGGATGCTGATGGCGATGCCCCTGATGATGACGACGATGATGGTGGTGAAAATGGTGATGAATGGAATGGGGGTGGGGGATGATGACGAGCAGTAGGAATGAGGAGCAGCAGCAAGAAGAGCAGGAGACAACTGGCAACACATCGTGCCCGTCGTGCCCCCCCACTCTCTGCCACCTGGCAGTTCAAAGTCGTCCAACTGTCGCCACTTCCCTGGCTCGTGGGGCTGTGTAAAAGGGCGCCGTCCTACGGGCATGCGACTGGATACATCGGCCCCATGGGCACTTCCAGCAGTGCAACCGACGTCACTTCCTAGGCCACATGCCCTATCTTCCCCTGGCTGATCGACTGTCACTGTATGTAGTCTTCTACCAAATACACAATAGTTTCGTGTGTATGTGTGTGTGTGCCTGCGTGCGTGCGTGTGTGTTTGTTTGTGTGTGTGTGTGTTTGTGTGCCTGTGTGCGTATGTGTGGGTGTGTTTGCGAGTGTGTGCGCGCCCGCCCGTTCGATGACGTTCCTTTCTCCGCCTCGACAATGTGCGCGGCCACGATTGCCAAAAAATGTACGTTTGCGTTTTAGGCCGGCGCGGGCGGGCTGCGTGTGCCTGACCTGGCTTGCACTGCCTCGACGCTGCGCGCGAGGCCGCGACCGCAAAAAAAGTGCAGTGTGTGCGTGTGTGTGTGTGTGTGTGCGTTTGTAAGTGTGTGTGTGTGGATGTGTGTGTGTGTGTGGGTGGTGTGTGTGTGTGTGTTTGTGTATATGTGCGGTGTGTGTAAGTGTGTAAGTGTGTAAGTGTGTGTGTGTGTAAGTGTAAGTGTGTAAGTGTGTGTGTGTGTGTGTTGTGTGTGGGTGCGTTTCGCTGGGCGCCTCCTCCTCTCCCCCTCGTGCATTGTGGCTGCATTCGAGTTCGTATGCCCTACAAATGCTTCTCCGCCAGCACAGTCACTCTGCCTAGCCGCCGACGCAAAAAGTGTGTGCGCGTGTGTGCGCGCGTGCGTCGCACTGCCGAGGGCGCACGTCCAGCCACCACGAGAGCAACTGACTGAGGCCTGCGCATCTCGCAGGGGCCTCAGGGCTTGTCTGCAATGGTGTGGGCTCTCCCCCCTGCTTCGGATCCTGCCCTCCCTCCCCGTCGCCGGCCTCGCGATCGTGTCGTCGAGACGGAGGAGCGTCTCGTAGTCGTTGGGGGTGATCTGGCAGGGCCCGCGCGGGCCAACGCGTGGGAGGCGGCCATGCACGGAGGGCAGCCGCGTGGAGCACCAACAACCGCCCAAGATGAAGGCAAGACTAAAGCACGATCGGACAGAAACGATCGACAACTACGAAGGGTGTGGTTTGCAAAGAGTGCGGTTTGCTGCCCGCACCCTGGGGGGCGGGCGAGGACCTCGGCAGAGTTCCCCGCCGCGCCCCGAGGAAACCCGACGAGGACACATGGTGCCCCCAAAAGCCGAACGACGCAGAAATCGCACAAAGACGTAACCAAACCATCTGTAGTCGCCGAAACAAATCAAGAATCTCTCCAGCGTGATTAAATTCACGAGATCTCCGGAGGTAGCGCGAACGTACAGCCCCTGGCGACGGGATCTCCATCCAGAGGCGCCTTCGACGATCCCAGGGTCCGCAGAGGGCCCTGGGGAGCCCAAGTGCGACGCGAAAACTTGCAATACCCTTCTCCTCCAGGCCCGCTCTCCTTCATGGCGACCCTCTGAAGCCTGCCGGCGGGAAAGAATGATCGGTCGCCGCGGCGGTTCCAAAGCACTCCGAAGCGCCCACAGAGCGACCCAGAAAACTCTGGAGCGATGAATGTTACCCCAAGCCTTCCTCACAAACCACCTCACCCCGCGGCGCCGATTCCAAGAACGCGCGAAACTCCGTATATCGGAGAGGAAAGGTGGCGAGAGAACACGAGCGCATGCCAAGAGTGGCCGAGAAGGTAACGGACGAGGGAAACATCATACATACATTCACGCGTGTGCGGACACAGTTTCGCAGTTGTTCCCACCCTGAACACCGATTGTCTGCTGCTCGTCTTTCCTCGTCGAAAATCCTGGAACTTCGGGGGCTAACAATGCTGCGGTTACGGACCGCGTGGTGACCTCGGAATCCCTAACGACCTCTCCGCGCGGTTCGTCACCACGCGGTCATAGCACCCCAGAGGCCCCGGTTGCCCGAGACGTTTTCGGAGAAAGACCCGAATCCCAAAACCGCGCGGTGACCCCGAATCCCCACTGACTCATCACATTGTGGTAACTGGGCGGCCTTCTCAGCCGAGCGGGCCATCAGGCGCTTGTCTGGGGAATTGCAGAGCGTCGGGCAACAGCTACGGTGCGCTGTGCTGGCGTCGGATGCCGCGGTCCGGTGCTCGGAGGTCGCAGAGCGTTTGCGAGCCCTGTTGCCCGAGGCCGTTGCGAACGTGCACGGCCGACGGCCGACGTGGATCGACAAACTGCGCAAGAACATCGCAGAACAATTGGGGCCACCCGAAGAACAGTTCCCAGATTTGTTCATGCCACCCATAATGAGTAAAACTGACACAGACTTGTTCATGCCACCCGTAACGAATGCAGCTGTAATAGCCCTTGCGCCAACTCTAACGCAACTCTCTCGCGGAATGAAAACGATAAGAAAAAACGGGCCTGATATCTCTTCGCCGTATTCGGCATCTGGGGTCTTAAATGGGCCCCGAGACTATCACAAACCGGCGCTGCGTTGAGCAAATTATTCCGGGAAGCGCCCTGGGTAACAGGACCTGTTTCCGCACGACAGGGGGGGGGCTGGCTCGGTGAGGTTCCACATGCGGACTGTTGTTGCATTGTTGTTGTTGTTGTTGAATACTCACTTGAAATTATTATTGTAAACCCCCCCTCCAATGCACCTGGCGTCTTCCAATGAAAGTGCTCCTTCCGGGGCTCGCACCATGTTTCCCATGGAAGATCTTGGTCCTCCAACTGGCCCCTTGGCCGCCCTGGCCCCCGGTTTACAACAACAACGGCTCCAGCCTGATACTTCGCTCAGAGGTTTTTCAAATTCGCGCTCTCGCGCGGGACTACCTCGCAATTGATGCAGGAATCGCTCTCGCACCTGCACCGCGCCCTCACGCTCAGGAATCGCGCCCTCGCTTTGGCTGTTCTCAATAGTTACTTGGAAATCGCGCTATCGCTGGAGACTTCCTCGCGTTTCAGCAACCTGCCTGCTCGACCTGGCCGCCTGGGCACGCCTTCCTGACTCGCCCGTGGGGACCTACCCGCCCGATCAACCCGTCTGGTTCTGCCACGTGGTTTCTGCGCCTAGCCCTCGCACCTATGCTTCATCCTTCTCCCTCCCCCTTCCATCTGACTTCTCTTCCCCTGACGTAGGGGCTGCGAGGAGTACACGTTGCAGGTAAGCAAGATACACCCCCAAGAGGGTACGATCGAAGAAGAACATGGCGGGTATCGAGGGTTTGGGATATACGTGTTGAACAACAATATTAAAGTGATTGCTGTTCTTGCCATCTTCGCCCAACTCGCGACACCGCCCGCGACCCACCAGCGACACGCCCGCAACCCACCCGCGACCCACTCCACTGTTGCGGATAAGAACGAGGGCGCGCTCAGGCGCGGGGTGGGTCACGGATGGATCACGGGCGGGTCGCCGGTGGGTCGCGGGGTGGGTCGTGGGTGGATCGGGGGTGGGTCTGGGGGTGGTCGCGGGTAGGTCGCGGGCTGGTCGCAGGTGGGTCGCGGGTGGATCGCGCGTGGGTCACGGGTGAGTCGCTGGCTGGTCGCGGGTGGGTCGGGGGCACGACAACAACAACACCAACAACAACAACAACAACAGCAACAGCAACAGCAACAACAACAGCAACACATATTGAGACTGCTCGCTCTTATCTGCTCACGTGCCATTCCACACGTGTTTCCCGAACCCTCGACACCCGCCCTCTTCGTCTTCGATCGTACCCTTCTTGGGGGCATATCTCCTTACCTGCCTCGTGTTGTTGGTGTTGCAAGAGGAGGGTTAGTAGTATAAGCGGCAGAACCAGACGGCCGGGTCGGGCGACCGGACCCTAACCGTTAGGTCGGGCGGGCGGGTTGGCGAGCGGGTCGCTGAAGCGACAATCCCACATGAATCGGAAAGAAGTTTTGACTGATAGCGCGATTCCCACATAAACTGCAAGGGGGTCCAAAGCAGGAGCGTGCTTCTGAGGTGTATCGGAGGCACGGCACCGCAATGAATTCCGAGGAAATACCATGCGAGAGCGAGATCCCTGATTACATTATGATGAAGTCCTGAGCGAGAGCGCGAACTTGCAGTACCATGCGGGGAGGTACCAGGCGGGAGCCGCTGGTGTTGTAAACCCGAACCCAGTATCGCATTCTGAGGCTCAAAACCTCCCCCTGTGGATAATCGGGTGCGAGCCTTGGAAGGGGCACTTGGATTGAAAAACAACAGGTGCATCGAAGGGGGGATCAACAGCAAATAGCCCTCAGATATAGGCTTTCGATAGCGACAACAAACAATATGTTTGATACTGGTCGCTCTTATCTGCTCGCGTGCCATTCAGCATGTGCACCCCCAACCCTCGATGCCCGCCCTCTTCTTCTTCGACCAGGCTCCCTTGGGGGTATATCTTCCCTACCTGCCTCGTGTAGTTGGCGCAGCCGCGTACACAGAAGAAGGAAAGGCAAAGGGAAGAGACAAGGGGGAGGGAGAAGGACGGATAGCAAGAGATATTTGCAGATAGGAGGCCTGGGGGCAGGAGTACAAGCGGCGGGCGGGTCGGGCGGCCGGACCCTGACGGGCAGGAGCGCGTTTCTTTATGATCGGCGATGACGGGCGTCATGGGGGGGGGTATGACGTAACGCCCCCACCCCCCCCGCCGTGTGGCTCCGGCACCACAGCCGCGCCCCCGCGCACGACGACGATGAGCGACGAGCGACGAGCGACGAGCGACAATCCACGACGACGACGACGCGAGCAGCATGTAGGTGGCGATCTGCCCCACTGCGCCTGTGTACACCACAGTGCTCGCGTGCACCACAGCGCTTGTGTACACCACAGCGCCTGTGTACACCGCAGCGCTTGCGTGGACCACAGCGCCGGTGTACTCCACAGCGAATGTGTACACAGCAGCAGCCATGTGCAACACAGCGCCTGTCTACACCACAATGCTTACGTGCACCACAGCGCCTGTGCACACCACAGCGCCTGTCCACACCACAGCATCCGCGTGCAACGCAGCGCTGGTGTACACCAGAGCGCCTGCGTACACAGGACAGGTAGAAGAAGCATGTCGGCGAGGATCTGCTGCGGACAGCCAAACGCCACGCCGAGGACATGCTGATCATGTAATGCGACGTTTTGGCCCTCCTCCTCCTCGACCTCCGCCTTCTCATCCTCCTCGGGGTGAGGATCGGCTGCTCGAACTGCACGTGTCGGGCGGGCGGGCCCAGACGAGCAGGTCGAGCTGGGCGGGCCGCTACACCGTCCAATGCTGGCACGCCTCCGGCGGAGCGCAGCCGCTGGAAAAAGCGTCCCCGGAGACCACCGAGAGCAAACGACAACGCCCGCAAACCTTCGACCTCATGTCGGGGAGACGTAAGACCCTGGTACGGGGGACTCGGAAATCCCCGACGAGGTCGTCAAAAAAATGACGAGGCCGAGCCTGCATTCTGACGAGGCCTCCCGCTGCAGACACCCCACGAAACTCCTCCTCGTCAAAATCCGAGTCGCGGTCGTCAAAAAACGATGGCGAACCCGAGTCCCGGCAAACCCGGGTCTTACGCTCCCCCGATCATGTCTCGCCCCCGAACTTCTCCTCCCCTAACTTTGCTCTGGGCCTCTTGTAGGTGGCGACATCCGAACCGTAACCCCACCACGCATCGATGCCCCTGAATCGATGGGAGCGGGGGGTCGGGTTCGGATTCCGCCACGTGCTAGGCAAAATTCGAACCCTACCCACGCCACCCATCGAGTTGCCTGAATCACTGATGGGCAGGAATTGACCTTCGCCGCCGACTTTCCCCTGGGGGCTCCCCAGCAGACCTCGCGGTACAGCAGGTCAGCCACCTCGGACGCGCGCAGCCCGCACGGGAGCTGCTTCTCGCCTGGGCGACGGGGAAGAGGACAAGGATAAAGGTGGTGACAAGGCTGTCGGGGGTCTGTTGGTCAACTCTGCCCGAATCTACCGACCCCCCAGGTAGCGAATGGATGCGAGCCCCGATCTCCACGGCTCGTGAGGCTGCCTTAGGCGAGCCATCCCCCAGGTTTCTGCGGGGCAAGGCTTCCCCTCACGGCGGGAGATCCTGCTTCTGCGAATGGAAAGTCTGTGTCCAGCGGGCGGCGGTGGCTACCATCTGTCTGGTGCACCCCCCTCGGAGGAGGGAAAAGAACAGAACATCTGCGATCCAAAATGCGTTCCCGAAGCAACCTGATTGAACGTGCTGCATTCGGGGATGGACAGACCTCCCTTTAGTAAAACGTGGTTTAGTGAAAACGACCTCGGGCCCAAACCTGGCGGGCGCAAGCCTGGAAAATAACGGCCGCGGCGCCCTCTCGAGAACCGAAAACGGACAATTCACTAATCGACGTGTCACTATTGGGGGTTCTGTCCAGCCCCGATGCATACGTGTCGCTGCCCTGTTTCGGGGAGCCCTCCCGCGACCCCACTGGGGGACACCAGTGGCGGACAATGGGACGGACTGTGGAGAATGGCCTGCGGCCCGCCAGCAGCACCGCCCGTTTGCTGGAGCTGTGGAGCAGGTTTTGAAGCCGAGGAGGAGGAGGAGGAGGAGGAGGAGGATGAGGAGGAGGAGGAGAAGAAAGAGCTGCTGCGCTCACCCGCTTTTTTAAGCATAGATTTATACACCCAAACACGGCTCGAATTGCGAATGCCCATCGAATGAAGTCGAACGAATCCTCTCGACGACGACAGGAACACACACACAATCGTCACAGCTGAATTGGACGGGCACCCGTCCATTTAGCAATGAATTCCCATCCGGTAGCACAGCTATGCGATGCTTGGGACTACCCGCATGCCCCTGATACCACACTCCTGGGGGTAATAAAGCTCGGGGTCCAGGCGGGATAATACACGTTTTCCGAGCAGAGCTGCTGATGATAATGGTAATGATGATGATGCTGAGATGATGATGATGATGATGATGATGATGATGATGATGATGATGATGATGATGATGCTGATGATGATGATGATCCTGGGCGCTCCTCTGGATCCTCGCTCTGATGGTCCTTGGCGCTCCTCCAGATCGGGCACCCAAAGCTTGCCTAGTCTGTGGAGTTCCTTGGCGCTCAAATGGTGAGAGTCCAGTAGCGCTGCCACACGTTCGTGACTTGGGAAAGCTGACATGTTGAGACCCCAATTGCCATGCCACACGTGTTTGATGATGTTGCCAGTCAACATGGCAAGGTAACAACTTCGATTCGCAACGCTCCCCCGCGATAATAATTTTCGGCCTTGCCGCCCCTCTCCCCCGACCAAATCTGCATTGGCCGAGGATAGTAAACTCTCAGTCCTGAAGGGGGCAACGATTAATTATCCGGGGTCGCGGTTACATGCAGAGCCTCCCTCTCCCTCCTCCTTCCTCCCGAGGGGGAGGAGGGAGGAGAACGACGAGGGAGGATGAGGAGAGAAGAGGAATGGAGAGGGGGCATGAAGGAGAAGGAGGAGGCAGGCACCTATCGAACGTTGAGACAAAGACAGGACGAGGATCACATCGGGTGATGATGGGTCGAGAGCCTCTGAAGCTCGGGGGCTCTGGAGGACGTCTCGGGCGCATCGGCCTTCTCGGAGCGTCCCAGAACGCTCTGGAGCGGATTTGTACTCTTCCTGGCCCCGCCCGAGAATCGGGCCGGGCGAATGGGGAGGAGAGCAAAGGGGGGGTTTGAGAATCAGCTCGTCTAGCTGATTCTCCCGGCGCCTCCCGGCGCAGGAGGCGGCCATGTATCGAAGAATGGGCCCCTCGGTGAGGCCGAAACCAGCCGCATGCACCAGACTTCGTGACCCACCCTTTCCCAATCCCCCCCCTTCCCTTCGGCCCGAGCAGCACACCCGCCGAATGTACCGAGGGACGTCCGCCCCTCGGCGAGCCAGTCGCGCGGCCGCGGCGGCCGCCTTGCTGGCGCCCAGCGCGCCGCCCGCCCGGCGCACTGCCGCTCGCGCCCTGGCCTCTGCGCGGGGCGCCGCCACCGCGGCCGCCCCGGGAGATCCTCGTCGTGGTCGTCGTCGCGGTCGGCGCCGCCGCCGTCGCTCCCAGCGGCCGCCGCCGCCGCCGCCGCCGCCGTCGTCGGCGTCGTCGTCGTCGTCGTCGTCGTCGTCGTCGTCGTCGTCGTCGTCGTCGTCGTCGTCGTCGTCGTCGTCGTCGTCGTCGTCGTCGTCGTCATCGTCGTCGTCGTCGTCGTCGTCGCCGTCGTCGTCGTCGTCGTCGTCGTCGTCGTCGGGAGCGTCCTCGCGGATTCGCGACGGCCCGCACGGAGCATGACTAAGATCGGCATCGACAAAATCCCGCGGCCTTCTCGGAGCGTCCGGGAACGGTCTGAGAGCGTTCCCGAAGACTCATGAATGGATTGAGCCTCGTCCTAGCCCCGTCCGAGATCCCTCGACCCCTTCCCAAGAGATGACGGGCAACGATAGGGGGGGGCTGGCACAAGGGTGGACACGTCGATCAGGAATGGGCGATATACCGCCGATAGATCGGCGATAGGCCCCCGATCGTGAATCCGCGGGTTCCTCGGCAGGTCGGGGCTATCGGGCGCCCATCGGCGATCAATGGGCCATTGGGGGTCCCTTCATCCCGCCTCTTAGGGCGACGAAATCTATACATATCCACTGCTCCCTGGCCAGGCCCATCCTCAACCCTGCAGCGTTGTATACGCCACGCCCTCCTGGCTTGGCCAGGAGGGCGCATACACAGCTCCTGGGTTCAAGATGGGCATGGTCAGGGAGCAGTGGATATGTATAGATTTCGTCGCCCGACCTCTGCACTTCCCCCCCGCAGGGTTGCCCCTGAAGAGATGGTCAACTGTGCGCCCCGCATCGTCCGGCGGGCCCGCGGCCGGAGACTGGCCCCTCCCCTCCCCGGGCGGACTCCGCAAGGCACGAGCGGCAAACACGGGCCGCGTCGCTCCGTTCGAGCCGCCAGGTGGGCGACGAAGAGAAGCGGGCCTTACCCGAATCTCCGACGATGTGATTTGTGTCAATCGGGGATGGACAGACCCCCCTTTAGTAAAACGTGGTTTAGTGAAAACGACCTGAGGCCCAAACCTGGCGGGTGCAAGCCTGGAAAATGACGGCCGCGGCGCCCTCTCGAGAACCGAAAACGGACAGTTCACTGATCGACGTGTCACTGTTGGGGGTTCTGTCCGCCCCCGAGTCAATCCGGGCGGATCGCCTCGACTTCGGCCTCTGCGGGCGCCAGTGCGCCCCGGGACCATCACACATGGAAGCGGGACGCAAAACTACCCCCAGGCAAGAGGGCGGGGACTCTGGGGCCACGGATGAACACAAATGGAAAACAGATCGGGGGATGTCAGGGCACGCGATATGGCATCGCGACCATGCGCGGTCGCCTACACGGGCCGCCAGCGTGGAACGCTGCATGGGAAGCGAGGTCGCTCACGCGCGACCTCACGCGGGCAACTTACGCGCGAATGTCGGCCAAGACGACTCCAATTTTGTTGAGCCGCCTGGTGTGTCCTCATCCCCCCCCCTCCGTGCGGCGCCGGGAGAATCGGCAGCATCACCATCGTCACGGGGAGGTGCGGATCAACTCAATCTACATGTGAGTCCGACGAACCGCATCCTAGCTGCCCCTCTCGAGACATCTCGAGTCGACTGACGGTCCCGCGGCCCGAAACTGGCCCTCTGGAAACTAATTTTCCAGCCGCCAAATGCCTGGGCCCGAGGGCGACACAATCGGCTCCGAGGCTGCTCCTGTGCGTTTGGCCAACGTTGCAAATAATGAATCCAAAGGAGGCCAGGTTGGGCCTCGCGGAGATAAGGGAGCAGCAGAAAAACGCCACAAATGATTGATCCTCAAACATCGATGCTCGACTTCAGATCGATCAAACAGCCTTATCCCCTTCCTCAATGCCGTCGCGCGGACCGCCCGACCAGGCTGCGGAGGTCGCCTCCTCCCGGCGCCGCCGCAGCGTAGGGCTGCGACAGGCGCACCCTGGGGCCGCGCGCCCCGTTTACCCGCGGGGGGGCGAGGAAGGGAAGTTCTCAGACCTCCAACGCGTATTGACGTCAAACGAAGGTCTATGTGTATATACACATATATAAGAGAGAATACATACATGTATATATATATGTGTATGAACATATACATAAATTTAGACAACAAAGCAAGCAACAAAAACAAACAACCACACAAACAAACAAACATACATACAAATAAACACATATGCATGCATACATATACTTACATATCTATGTATAAACAGATATGCGTGCACACATCTCTTTCTCTCTCTCTCTCTCTCTATATATATATACATATATATATATATATATATATCAGAGCGAGCGCGCCGAACGGTCATTCATTGTCTCTGCGTGCGTGGCTGCAATGAGGATCCGTGGTGAGGACTCCGCTTGTTGCGTTATCGCACCCGTCGTCGTCGTCGTCCCACCCGCGACCCACCCGAGACACACCCCGCGACCCACCCCGCGACCCACCCCGCGATCCACCCCGCGACTCACCTGCGACCCACCCCGCGAGCCACCCGCGACCCACCCGGCGACCCACCCCCCGACCCACCCGCGATCCACCCACGACCCACCCACGACCCACGGCTACATCGACCACCGCCGACGCCAGCTCTGACGGCTTCACCGGCATTGGCTCCGACGGCGGCTTCGGCACCACCTCCGACGGCGGCCCACGCGCCGACGACTCCGACACCAGCTCCAGCCGCGACCCTGGAGCTGGCTCAGGCGGAGATGCCGATGCCAGTTCTCACGACGTCTGCGGCGTAGGTTCCGAAAGCAATTCCGACGGCAGCATCGACGAGGTTTCTGACGCCAGCCTACCACGGCAGCGGCACCAGCGCCGGCCCCGACAACGACACCGTCGGCGTCTCCGACGCCGGACCCATGGATACTCCCGACACCAGCTCTGAGGGCGACACCGGCGACATCTTCGGAGGAGACTTTGACGCCAGCTCCGAGGGTGACCCCGGAGCCAGCTCGAGGGGCGACACCGGCGCCTACGCCGGCATGAACGCCAGCGCCTGCACCAGTACCAGCGCCAGCATCGACGCCAGCGCCAACGCCCGCGCCTACGGCGACACCAACGCCAGAGCCTACGCCACCGTCGACGACAGCACCGACGACAGCACCAACGCCGGCGCCTACGCCGGCATGGACGCCAGCGCCTTACACCAGCACCAGCGCCAGCATCGACGCCAGCGCCAACGCCCGCGCCTACGCCGGCAACCAACTGCAGAGCCGTCGACAACAGCACCGACGACTGCACCAACGCCAGCGCCTACGCGGGCATGACTGCCAGCGCCTACACCACCACCAGCACCAGCATCGACGCCAGGTGCCTACGCCGACACAAAAGCCAGAGCCTACGCCACCGTCGTCGACAGCACCGACGACAGCACCAACGCTGGCGCTTACGCCGGCATGAACGCCAGCGCCTACACCAGCACCAGCGCCAGCATCGACGCCAGCGCCAACGCCCGCGCCAACGCAGGCACCAGCGCCAGAGCCTACGCCACCGTCGACGACAGCACCGACGACTGCACCAACGCCGGCGCCTACGCCGGCATGAGCGGCAGCGCTGTACACCAGCACCAGCGCCAGCATCGACGCCAGCGCCAACGCCCGCGCCTACGCCGGCACCAACGCCAGAGCCTACGCCACCGCCGACGACAGCACCGACGACTGCACCAACGCCGGCGCCTATGCCAGCATGAACGGCAGCGCCTATATACCAGCACCAGCGCCAGCATCGACGCCAGCGCCAGCGCCCGCGCCTACGCCGGCACCAGCGCCAGAGCCTACGCCACCGTCGTCGACAGCACCGACTACAGCACAAACGCTGGCGCCTACGCCGGCATGAGCGCCAGCGCCTATACACCAACACCAGCGCCAACATCGACGCCAGCCCCAATGCCCGCGCCTACGCCGGCACCAACGCCAGAGCGTACGCCACCGTCGACGACAGCACTGACGGCAGCACCAACGCCGGCGCCTACGAGGGCATGAGCGCAAGCGCCTATATACCAGCACCAGCGCCAGCATCGACGCCAGCGCCAACGCCCGCGGCTACGCCGGCACCAACGCCAGAGCCTACGCCACCGTCGACGACAGCACCGACGACAGCACCAACGCAGGCGCCTACGCTGGCATGGACGCCAGCGCCTTACACCAGCACCAGAGCCAGCATCGACGCCAGCGCCAGCGCCCGCGCCTACGCAGGCACCAACGCCAGAGCCTACGCCACCGCCGACGACAGCACCGGCACGAGCACGACTATGACGACAAGTACGTGCACGAACCAATGCAAACAGCACTACCAGCATCACGGGCAGAACCAAGGCAACCAGCACGACCACACACAGACGACCTGCACCAGCTACACGGGCAACCACCACGACCACCCGTGCAACCAGCATGCCTACGACTGCCACGGGCACGACCACACAGCGGCAACCACCGCCGACGCGGCGATTCCTACCACCAGCATCGGCTCGGCTTCCACGACTGCAAGGACCAGCTCTCGGGCGCTACGCCAGAACCCACACGAGGCCACTGCACTAGCTCAGCCGACCTTTACTTTCACCAGCACCTCCGCTCTTGCGCCGCATGCGCGTCGGGAGCAGCATGCACTTTTGCGTGCCCGTATGGATTCCCATCTTCCGACTCTCAATAGCCAGCGCGCTGCCTTTCGCATGGGGCCCCGCTCGCTCTCAATCGGTTGCACAGTATCCTCCAACGAGCACCCGCGCTCCTCGCAACGCTCCCAATCGCGGTTCCTTCGGGCATGTTCTGGGCTGTGACGGGGCAGCTCCTGAGCTTCACGTTCGGGGCGACGCTTCCCGTCCCCGTGCACCCAGCGTTGCTCCTTGCCTCCGCCTCCGTGTCCCCGGCTCCTCTTGAGTTCGTCGTCTTTGGGGCCGTGGTGCACGGCGGACCCGCGCAGCGGGGCTTGGCAGCGATCTGCGCGACGGTTCTCGCTCACGACTTCCACGTCCGACGCTCCTTGTGCGAGGCTTTGACGCTGGCTTCCACGGCGGCCTCAGCCCAGCGTGGTTTTGCCCAACGAGCCCCGCTGCTTGGGCCGGGCAGGTCGCCCTCCTGTTTAGTCGGCGACTACAATGGGTGCGGTTTGCGAAGGGTGCGGTTTGCCTCCCGTCATATCTGCCCCCCCCGCCCCCGGGAAACGGATGACACTGTCACTCAATGCGACCGAATCACATGACACTGTCGCTCCTTATTCCCTACCTAGGCTCTGCATAGAAGGGTTCTTACCCTCTGTGCTTAAAGGGCCGGGCAGTGGGTCTCGCCCCGGGCGGTTCCCCCAGGATCCGCCCCGCGGTTCCCCCTTTTTTTTACGCCCCCTTAGATTAGTGTTGCTTATCTCATCATAGCTTAGCTTATTCCATCGTAGCTTAGCGTAGCTTCATCTTAGCTCTGGTTTATCTTAGCTTTGCTTACCTTCATCTTAGCTTCGCTGGGCTTTAGCATAGCAGGTCACCGCATAGCATAACATAGCGTATCATAGCGCAGCACAGCATATCATGGCATAGCCCATCATAACATAGCACAACGCAGCATAGCATAGCATAGCATATCATAGCGCAGCACAGCACAGCATAGCACAGCGCAGCATAGCATAACATAGCGCGGCATAACATCGCATATCATAGCCTAGCATGGCATAGCGCTGGATAGCATGGCATAGCACAGCGCAGCGAAGCATAGCAGAGCATAACATAGCATATCAAAACATAACATAGCAACTAATGCTGCTGTCCTAGGGGCTTCAACTTCTAGGTCGGGTCGCACTGGGGATATAGTACAGTGGAGCGCACATCGAGGATGACAGTGTCGCTCGAAACGACGATAGTAATGACATTGTCTCTCGCAAAGGCCCCAGTAAGGCCACCACAAAGCAACTCGCAAACCGCACCCTGGCGCAACCGCACCGATTGTCGTCGCCGATGTTTGGCTGTCGTCACGCCTGCTTTCCCCGCTTCGGATGGAATTCGCGCCGCGTGCCTATGGGAGACTAATCGGTGCGCGTGCCAGCGGGGCGGTTCCCGCAGCCTTCAGCGTCCAAGCGCCGCGGCGGCTTCCTCTGCCTCTGCGGGCACAGCGAGGCAGGATGTCCACGTGAGGAGGACCTTCGTCGAAGTGGAGCCGGCGACGCGCTTCCCTGGGCGGCAACTCCGGCGAGTCCAAACTGATGGGGGTGAGGGGGATAAGCCGCTCCTAGTCGAAGGAACCGGCGGGTTGGATCTCGACCCTGATGCCCGGAACATGCACGTGGATGCGGGGGGGCCCTTGGACGAAGAGCGCCGGGCCGAACAGCGCCGGGCCGAAGTTGCCCACCGACCAGCAGCCAGCGCTCTCGAGGACGGCGCCCCGCCGCCAGAGGCTCCACAGGCCGCGCCGCCAGCCTGGCAAGAGGCACCTGCCCCCCTCCCCCGGCGCCCGATCCTGCCCACCAGGGCAGGGTTCGTGCCCGCGTCCGGGGGCACTGACCGGTCCCTGGGTGCCGGCGCGGCGACGCCGCGGCCTCCGCCGGCTAGGGGGGCCACCAAAGCATGCATGCGCCCGCACCTGAACGAACACGCCGCCAGACGATTCCCTGGGCTGCCACCGGTCCCGCACGAGTACTTGCAAGAGCTCCGGTTGGAGCAACGCTCGGTCTGCCAGCGGTTCTTGTCGACGCGCTTCGGCGGCATCTGCCCGCACTGCCGCCCTGCCGCGCGCACGGCCGCAGCCGGGGCAGCCGCCGCTCCCACCGCCGGCGGCCAACTGCACGGCGAGCCCGTGGGCCCCCCCTCCCTCTGGGAAGCTTTCTCCGGGCGCTCCACCACCAATCGCTACGTCCGACGGACGCCTGGGACCTTTGGGCACGGTGTTTAATGCAGACGGTGGCCCAGACCGCGCACAACAGCGCCGAGGCTGCGTGGACTGAGCTTGCGATGCTCC